CGCGCAATTCTCATAACCTAAGTCGTCGAAGTTCTTGGGGAGGAGGTCGACGACCTCTTTTGCCGAAGGCAACCGTATGACAGGACGGAGGCTGCGATATAGGAAATTCAGCCACGTCGTGAAAGCCCTCCCCCCGGTACTCTCGTGCACACCGAATAGAGTCGACGCCACAACCAGCGGCATCGCCGTGCGCAACACCATCAACGTAAAAAATAGTCCGTTTACACCACGAAAAGTCTTGACTCGCTGGCTGTTTCCACCCGCTGAAACGCCTGCCCGTTCTCGCTGATCGAAAAACACCATGTTCTCCGCAGCGCCGTCGGCGTTCGCGAACTCGTACAGCTTCTGCAGGGTAGGTGCGGGGAGATGGGAGAAAGGGAGAAAATAGCCACGGGTTATGCCGGTGAAGATTTTGTGGGCGGCTACGCGGTCACAGCGGCGGAGCAATGCCGCTATTCGGCCGAAAGCGAAATGTTTGAGCAGAGGCGTCCACGGCTTGAGCGGAGGCGATAAAACTAAAAGCAATGGCCGGCGGGAATGCAATCATACGTTGGTCATAATTTAGCGGTAGCCGGTCCTATTTTTCTTTAAGCGCTAACACGACTTTTCGCGGCAAAAACAATAACGGCGGTACACCCGGTGAGCGCCGGTGTTTGTGTAGGAAAATTGGCGCCAGGTTACTTACCGACACCACTTGAAAAACTGAACAAAACAATGCTTCGATTCGATCTGATAATCACCACTTGCCCTAGCCAGAAAACACACGAGGTTAACCGAAAATGCATGCCATTCTCGTTGGCGACAACCATCAACTTGGACTCGTGTTGCATTTCTTACTACTGCTGTCGTAGCCGATAGACGGGATGATGACAACCACCTACCAGCCTATTGCTGTAGACCTGGACAGCAGTAAAACCAGGACAGCACTCCTCTTGTCTCGGGCAAAGCATTACACAAACACGGGCGCCCACCACTACCGTATCTTCAGCACTGCTGTAGGACGCGCAGCAGGTAATCCATTCCCGATCATACTGGTAGCCTAGTGGGGTTGTTTGCTGTAATATGTACAACATAAACTACATGCCAGCTGTGTACTGCTGTAGTTTCGAGCGACATATCTTGAACGCACGAGCTCAGCTGCCACAACAGCAGTTAGTTGTAGACAACGTACGAACTAAATACCAGTTTTTAGACTATGCAATGACGTGAAAAATGGGGCATGCGTTGTATCGGGGCTGCAGGTGAGGCGGGGGTGTCAATAAGAAATACCACAGACAATTTCCCGCAAACTGTACAAAACTAGCGTACAGCAGTCCTTACTTACCAGGAGAGCCTCGGGGTGGGCACCCCCGCCAGGCAACGAACTTCTGCTGGCGTCTTTCCACGGAGGATGTTGTGGTCGATCCCAACGTCCGCCGGCTGTGATGACCTGCCGTGTGCTTCATGTTTATCCACCGCCTCCTTCAGCTCCGACTCTAGCAGGGAGATCCTTAGCCCCAAATCTCTACTTTTCTCCTTGGGTCGTGCTTCCTTCTGAGCCCCAGCTAGCAGCGCTCTCCGATGTCGGTCGTTCAAAGCTTCGAGCTTGAGACTCCTTGCCAGGGCACCACGAGAAGCTTTGAGCATCTCCTCGCTCGTTTGGCTTGGCAGTGCTCCCTCCTTCACGCTAACCCCTACCTCTTCGCCGGTTAGGGATTTGCTCTTCACATCGGCTGCTAGGCTACCAGGAGGGAAGTGAGCGGCCGAAATCCTAGGGTCGCTCTTGGGGACTGGAAGGTCGTCTCGACCAAAAAGCGCGTTGCACCAGCTCTTGAACTTGCCAGCGTCTTTGGGCATCCGTATCGTCGCGTCTCCACCATCCTCCTCACAAAATTTTGTTTGGCAGATGCATCTATGTTTCCCCGTTGTAAGCGCTGAGGATCCTTACGGCTGCTGGGCGGAGTGTGTGTTGTGTGCTCACGTGTCACCAGGCGACAACCGACAAGAGAGAGCGGGCCTGCAGGTTGCTGGTACACCGCTTGTATCGCTCTGAAAATTATAAGCGGAGTCCCCAAATCTCGCCGCAAAAGGAGCTGACTAAAACGAAGCAGACGCCGAGCTGTTCTTCGTGATGGGAATGTCTAGAGCATGCCAAGGGGCGTAGGAGTGTTCTGCTGTCCTATCCTGGCGTTATCGTTGCTCGGTAAGTGGTGTCACGGCCTCCGCAGCTGTCAAGCCAGCGGCTTCAAGTTTTGAAAAGCCCTCCCCAATTCGTCTTGGTTTTAGACTGCCCAAAAAAGCGTATGCCCTCCCCCCCCACAGGCGTTTTGTAAAAAAGGCGGGGCTATTGCAAGAAGCCTATGCCATGTAGAATACGGTATACATACAATAAAAATTGTAATTTTTTCGGGCAAACAATTTGTTGCGAATGAATTAAAGCGCGGGCATGTTGGTCTGTAGCACCTGTGCAGCAGACGAATCATCAAAATTGAGCAATAGGCTCAAGGCCGTTCAGCGGTGTCTCGAGGACTGAGCACATGCTAAGGAGCACACAGGCTGTCCGTTTCTGACATGCAAACTTTCAAACCGTCCAAGGTTGCAGCTTTGTTGGATAATTGACGTTAGACTATGGCAGCGGAGGGTTCACTGACGCCGGCCGAATCAAAACACAGACCTTCCCTGCATGACTCCGCTACCACGTCACAACCACACGGATCGTGTTCTGTACCATCTGGTACAAGCAGCAAAGGTTGAATGACACATGCCGGACACGGGAATCCTTCCTTGTCGCACACGCCCAACGAACAGCGAGGAGAAAGAGTCGCTTTTGGGTGGAAAAGTCTCGCCGCACAAGAGGTGATCTGCGCCGGCGTCTGAGTGTGTGCCTCGAGGGCAAACTCTGTGAGGCAAGCCGCGTCTCATCGGCTCCACGGCAAGCTGGGCTCCTACGAGAAATGATGTGTCAGTGAATGGCGCAGCAATTCTTGTCAGCCCTGCGTCTACAGTTGGCGGCAAGGCAAGCGTCTAGCGGGCGATGCGATGCTATTGTGGGCATACTGCTGTTGATGCACCCATGTGTGAGAAGTCAAAATGTTTGATACGTACCCGCAGCGACACGAACAAGGAGCAAGCCGACGACTCCGCGAACGGCTATTCGTGAACCCCTGAACTGCGAGCAATCAATCAAATCATTGTGGCGGGTATAGAGAGGCGAACGCGTCTAGCTTCTCGCGGTCTGTACTGCGGGAAAACCATGACCCTACTGCTTGTACTAAATCCCACCTCTCTTGTCACCGGCGACGGATGAGATGTGGCAGAACCAGGCACAGGGGGATCAACGGGATTCGACACGGAGTATGTAGCTGCACTTGACCCAGTGCTGTAGCTCCTTCCTCAGACTCCTTCCCGAAGACAGAACTGCGGGATACGACACAGCAGCAGAAGTGCAGGGTGAAGTTGTTGGCCTCCTCCCATTTGCCTCGCTGGTGCCACACTCGCGTGCGAAACTGCGGAATGTTCCGGGAAAGAGATGAGGAACCTTTAGAACGTTCTCCCGCACAGAACGTGAAACGGTTGTAACGGTTTTCCGATGGCTCCCTCCATGCGCAAAACAAGTGGGCCTTCGTCGGATCACGACGTGTGAACGCCTTGTTTTTAGGGTCGCCCCCGAACCCTGCACGCTGAAGGTATCTTGCTGCTTGTAGATGTCCAGGCGTGTGACGCTCTTGACAGAGTTTCAAAATCAGTTGTGCACACAGGACATTTTGCCTGACTGACCTGAGAAGACTGTGAAAGGCGTACAGCATTTTGGAAGAGGGTTTCCGCTTTACCCGGGATTGTAGCTGCCCGATAGAGAAACATCTACATGCTGTTGTGTGTGTCAGAGGTGCAATCGTTCTCACCCGCGGTGCGAGATTCGGATTAGATACATCTCGCGCGTCATCACACTGCTGCTGTATTGGCCAGACCGAAAATTATTCAATGTCCGCCGTGCTTCGCACAGAGCTCACGCCTCTACATAGAAAGTGAACAATGCGAGATGTGGACCCCTCTGCGCTTGCTATTGGCAATCGGCTTCGGCTGATGATGAACAAACAACCGCAGCCCGAGGTTGAATCATGATATATACACAACGTATTACGGCAATTTTCGCCTGTAGGTTTTTCCCCTTCGTTGTCGCCTTGTCGCCTGCTTCCCGGGCGGGGTCGTCCCAATGCACCCACCTATGTATGTATCACCTTCAACCAGACCACCCCGCAGGCATGAAACTGCGACAATATACCCCTTGACGAACAAACAACTCCACCTCCTCTGCCCTTCATTGACCCCTTTGACACTTTCTGTTGTGCTTGGTTTATTGGCGAATTATGGACTGACAAGCTTACAACCCACCGTGAAAAAAAATCAGTTCGTTTGAACAAACATATTCACGAGAATTACAATCTCTCTGCCTGCGATATCGTGAGAATCAAACTGAGCACCGGAGGGCTAGATGCAACGACTGCCAGCGGGAATCCCGACACGCGCATCGGGGCCACGGTAAGCCCAAGCATACCTCCAAATGCACGCAAAAGAGGTCGGAAGTCGGAAGGTCTCCCCCAAGAGGCAAACTCCGTGTTGATGAGACGACATACAAGTAGACTATTCTGCCATGTAGTCAACGAGGCGTGTGCACGACTCCGTTTTTTCGCCTCTCAAACATCAGTTCCGTAACACGGCAGCCGCAACAGTTGAAAATCAGTTCAGTCATCACAAATGTGGCATGCGCGACAAGACACAACAACCAATCTCCTTGGACATCTCAGCTCCTCGTCGCCAAGAGACCTGCACCATTCCCCCTAAAGGTCCTCGGCGATCGCTTCAAGGTGACAATTCAAGGTAGTATCGTCTACTACGATGCCTTGACGTGGGCATCTATCAATCAATCCTCGTCGCGATGCCGGTCGCGAAACCACGCACAGCCGAACGGACGAAGTTCTGGTCATGCACGGCTCGATGGTTGGTAGATAGCATGCGGAGGGTCATCGGCACGCTGCCGAAGAGTAGTGCCGGCCGCAGAAGACACAACGAGGGAACCCTGCACGGCGCAGTTGTGGGAGCAGTAGCGGTGGTCGATTTTAGTGTGTGGTGTACGTATCATTGTAACACCGGTTTGCGGCATAGAGTCTAAGAGTTAAAACAATGTATGAGTCGTGAGAGTCCTGTCCTGCCATGGTGCGTAAGCAGCAATCTATGCAGTACAGGCAGAACAAGCATATCGGGCAGTCGACAACGTACGGTGCGTGAGTCTTCAACGAAGGAGGCGACATTTTCGTTCAACCCGTTGAGCGCGAGCGATGATATTTGACTGAGGTAAATGCGCAGTGAGCATGCGTCAGGTACGAGAAAACAATCGGTCTCGCGTGCAAAAAAGCGAGCATAGAACATCGGCTCCCAAGGGACCTGCGCCACGATATCTGCGCTGTTATTCGCTGATGTGCTCGTACAGCGGGGCCGAGTCGAAACAAGGCGAATGTCACGAAAAAAAATCGTTTTAACAACCCTCCAACGAGAGTAATACGGCATTCTGCCGAACCGTACAATGTGGCAGAGCGCAAGGACGTGCGTTCCTGGATATTGGTGATCAGCATCGATGGGAATGGCCATGAGGATTGCTCAATACCGATAGGAACAATACGTGCACGAGCATTCATCCGCGTTGATCGAAGTGCTATTCTTTTTTAATCGTACATGTAATGTAATGGGGGATGTAGCCCATACTTTCAGACACAACTCGACGGAGGTCGATCAACATTGATAGCGTCCGTGCAAACGACGCTGGGTGTTCTGACGTGGAGTCCTGTGACATCCAGCACAAAAGTTCTTGTGCACACTTTGAGGGAAGAGAGTGCTGCGCTCCTCTCGCATCAAAAATCGCAAGCACCACAGGAGGGGTGGGTAGGGGGGCTCAGGGAGAGGAACTCTTCTGTGTGACCATCGATTGGAGCTACCTAAAAGAAATGCTGTGAGCAAAGAAAAAAAGCGACAAAAAAATAAAATAAAACAAACTGCCATCACAACTTCTGATCAAATTCGAGCTCACATTCTGCTGTTCGATGATCAAATTGCCAACCACAAGCATGTCGATTCAACCTCAACCAAATACCCAAGTATGAAACTCACATATGTTTCTTTGTTGTGGGCGCTCATCCTCTGAAGCTATCTGTTGTCAGCACTGCGTTCGCGAAGCAGCTCGTCATGGAGTGCCAATATCTCTCTCAGCTCGTCCTGGGGCACCAGGTCATTACTCACAGCCGCCACTGATGCAAGCAACGCCCCATGAAGTTCCCAACCGTACACAGGAAAAACGAGACACGGCACGCATGAACTTAAGTGGCACGAGGGTCTCAAGCGTAAATGCGAAGGAGAATGTTCAGCCGCTTAGTTGTGCAACTAAGCCAGGACAGGTGGGGTATCGCGACGTGAAAACACAAAAACGGTTCCAAGCGTTTGGGGACACAAGTGAACGCCAAGCTCGCCGGGATGACCAAACACCAATCAAACAAACCACAAGACACACAAAAACACTTCGACTAGTCAAGGTGACCATGGTTCACCAAACAAGTCAAACTACGACATCCGGGCGAGAACCACGTTCGAACACCATCAGAGACAATGATTCCACGCGGCCCGGTTAGAGCGCCGATAGTAGGTACGCTTGTGAGCGAGAAAATTGCGCAATGGAGAGAGGCGGGGCCCAGGATGATATGAACCTAGAAAATACCGAGTTTGAAATGGACGTTTGCCTTGCCGCGAAGCAGCGACAACAGCGGGACATATTTCCTCCGCACGCATGAGATCGCGGAAAGCTCGTGAAACGACTTTTGCCCGTAGTCGCTCACGAGGCGAGGCCCAAATGAAAGCATGCGAATGCTGAGTTTGGTTGTTCTCAATCACTATAGAAAGAGACGCATATCTAGTGGTCGTGAACACGATTCTGACGTACATTTGCGGGTGATCCTGTCCATTGCCCTCTGAAAACGGCTCAGCTTGGCATCACGCTCGCGATGTAGCTCATCGTTCTTGCTGTGCACTTCCTTCAGGAGTTCCACGGCCTCTGCCAGCTGCCCCAGGGTCACCACATCATTACCCGCAGCCGGTGCTGATGTACAAACAACACCCCGTCGAGTAGGCAAACGCAACACAGCGGAGCAAGTGAGAGGGCGACATCGATGTCTTTGGCATGAGAGTCTCAACTTCCGGACGTGTGACGGAGAGGGCGTGTTTGGTGAGATGGGGGGGCAAAGTAAATGCGAACCAGGTAAGTGGGCAAAACACATTTTCACCGCCGAAGCGTTCTACATGAGAAGGAGCCATGCAAAACAGAGTGATCAAACTACTCAATGCTCGTGCACAATGGTATTTAAATGGTACTATCCAACATGAGGGGAGAGGGCCAGCGAAACACGGCGACGCCTGTACCGAGCATTCGATGACATCAGGATTAGACGCCAGTTGCGCTGAGACGAATAAATCTTCACTCAGACACGAACGCATCGATGCACGAAATGTCCGTGCAAGTCCGACGTTTGCTCTTCCAAAGCAACGGGTTGATATTTCCCCTCTTCACTTGGTCGTGTCTGGACCAAAAACAAACGCTGCTTCGGCATTAGTGCTTCGACTCAAAGCCACCACACACACTGCCGGCGCAGAACAACGCGATAGCGTCGCCACCTCGAGCCCCGTACAGGAGATTGGGAATTTACCTCTCTCTTGAGCCCTCTCGAGAAAGTCATCCACTGCTGTCTCGGTGACAGCTTGCCGCTGCTTCAAAGCTAGCCCGCCCCCTATCGATGGTCGTGGATTGCACCCGAACATTTCATGACGTGCGGCAGCGTTAAATGTGGGCAAAGTGCGTATTGACTGGTGGCGTAGGATGAGGCTTCATTTTACATCACAATCGACTGCCAGCGAAACGATATTTGGTGTTTTCTCACCCGTGACGAAACAATCAGACAAAAACGAACAGGCGTATAGCCATGGATAAATCTGCTGACACCGTGGCCCCCCCGGCCTGGGGTTGGCAGGTAAACGGCGAAGGCACACGGCACGCACAGACAACAGTAGTGCTATCTAAGTCATGGCAATATTCCTCCTGCACTGTATACAACAGCGAGATGTGAGCAAGGAGGGCATCAGAATAGGTTCCCGGGGTTCCATCGCCTCAAGCACGGCGAAAACGTGTTGACAATGGCACTTTCCAACTCCAGATTTGGTCTGGGTGATACACAATGACACAAGGACCACCATTGTAAACATTCTCCACAACGGAATATTTGCCGACCAAGTGTTTAGAATCAATGAGGACTCTGTTTCTCTTTGACCATCCAGAAAATTTCCGCAGAGAATGCCACCTCTACACCTTGATTTATTGGTATTTCGCTGAAATTCGTGGCGGTGAGCATGTTCCCGGTGAAACAGTATCTACCCATCGCCGATGACGTTCTCGTTGGCAACTATGGATGGTCGGGTGGTTTATCCCTGTTGATACAACCCTACATTTACGTGTGGGTGATACGGGATTGGGGCCGAGAGTAAGGCGGCCTTGCTCAATTTGCACGAAGAAGATTCCGCACCCAAGGGGCAAATGTCAAAGCGTCACTCATTCTGCATCCAGCTGGCCATCCCACTTACCGCTCGCTACCAAGCTATCCAAGTCCTGCCCAGGCTTCATCACCTTTTTGTTCAGGATTTTCACCTGGAAAACAAACGCGGCAGCATGCAGCATGCTGGTGTCAAACGTGGACATCGGCCGGTGAACATCGACGTGAGCCTGACAGCCCATCACGCAGTAATGTTCCACGACGGTGGAACCGTGTGCATGCTTGATGGTGAGCTTGTCGACTATCAAAAGGCCGGCAAAAAATTATGAAGAAAGGTTTCTGAACCTACTGTGTGCTGTATAGCACAGTCACCGTACCTCAGACTCCAGCTTGGCGTTTTTGGCATTTGCCGCTTCCAAACCGTCATTAAGCCTGGCGTTCTCTGCTTCAAGCTCGACTTGTTTCGCACGAGAAGCTTCCAGGCCGGCTTTAAGCTCTTCGTGCGTTGCTTCCGTGCGAATGCGCATGGAAGCCATGCGCTCCATCAACGCTGCCACGTCAATATCACTCTTGGCAGCACCGTCAGGAACGCCCGGACGAGTAGCTGCAGCATGCCACTGCCGTGAAGCTGGTTGGGCGGAGCTAGCTTCGTGATTGGTACGCTCCTGCGTGCCGTGAGATGTCGAACCAACTTTCCGCTTGGCCTCTGGGAGTATAATCCCGACAAGAACTTTCACCTGGGGATTCATCATGTTTCATCAACGAGTTCATTTCCAATAGATGATACTCCCGTGAAATAATACCGCGAGTGCGTGACGTTCTACGAGCGGGTCCAAGCATCTGCTGGAGACACCGACAGTACCACAAGCTAGTCGCCGGCCTCCTTGTCCCTTCAGGTGGAGACATCTCGCTTGGTTCACTAGGGAATCTCTCCGAAGCAAGTGCACAAGGGTGGAAGTTGCTTGATGTACCGCGTATGACGGTGAACGTGAACGGCTCCAACGACAAGAGGAGGATCAACCAACGTTTTGCTTGCTTGTTGCCGGAACTACGCTGGTTTTTGTGCTACCGGACCACTTGAGTTGACCTCCAAAAGACGGCGAAGGTCGCCTACAATTGACAACGTGTACGGGTTCTACAAAAATAAATTAGGAACTCAACACGGCCGACGAAAAGTCATCAGACACGCGTTGACGACCTGTACCAAAAACGTTCCTAACTCACGACACAGAGGAAAATACCAAAAGACGGATACAGGCGGTGTTTGGATTCCTCGCATGCATAGCGCCAAGCACGCGCCAAGGTAGTCAACCATCCCCTTTTCAAATCGGGTTCCCGTTCTTCCTGACTGTAGAGTAGCGTCTAACCAAGTTTGTACTTTACCTTCTCGTCAGGAGTGTTTGTGCCGCGGAGACAACCCCGCCCAACCGCCTTTAGAAGAGTCTGGAGGTGCCTTTTCCCAAGCTTCCTCCCAGCCTGGAAAGGACGGCGGCGAAAAGAAAGAACGGTGAGGATCTCGTAGCTGGCAGAAATACGACGTCCACGATGGCTGCTGTCGATGTGATCATTTTCTACCCGCAGGACTGGAGACGCAAAGAGTTCGACGGCAATAGAACGCTCAGAGGCCTTCGTATACCTGTACGGCAGGAGTCGTTTTCCTTGCATCGAGGTTGTTCGGCTCGTAGTCCGCCACTTCTTCGACAAACCAGTCCATGACGGCTTCCTCGGTCGCAGAGTCTGGCGAGGCGCCAATATCTTGGCTCCATCCGCACACGCCTGAAATGCAAACAACCCACCGTACCCCGTCCGAGCACAAGACCTCACCGTCGGTTTGGAACACTCATCCCACTAAAAACTCGTTGCAGGTGCGTGAGGCCGTGGCAATGCCCTTGTAATCGGGTTCACGGTGGGTTTGATGGGTGTCGCGACAAGACCCCGAGAAACCCCACCTCACTCGCTGCCACACATACGCCAAACACCTGGATCAAACACCTGGATCAATGGAAGGCCAGGCACCTAATGGGCGCTGGGTGCACCGAAAATCAAGGTGGTGAAATGACAGCGCTCTGGATCGTCTACTATCTTCAACAGGGCAAGGTGGAGCGGATGGTTTCGTAAACAATGTACCCATCGCACGAAGTTAAGCCAAACACCATGGCGCTAAGGATGAACGTGTTTCTATCAACACTATCGCGGTTGCATCAACACAATTGCCCACAAATAATTGGGGAGTACACACACTATGTTGCAGGACGGCGGGCTCAGCCATCCAACAAACCCGCCTCAGTAAAGTGGCATTGGCTGCCGAGGGACAAGCCGATTGCGCTGTGGATCCTCACCCTCAACACCACCCATGCCTGCTGTGGTGTGCGTGCCACGTTCTTCAGCCGTGCCAGTCGTGGGGAGGGTGCCGTCCACATACCCATCCGAGAGTTGCAACGCCAACGTCCTCGCCAGCAAACAACAGTCAGTCGAGTCGGGCGCGATATCGCAGATCTGCCAGAGTATCCGAAACGTCGTGGGGGCGTCAGTGTCGACCATAGGACAACCCAAGGGGCGAGCGCATCTTACGTAGAATCGCCGAGGCACCGTACACGTGAAACAAGCTCACCTTCGACACTCGCCGAGTTTGCAGATATCGGTCTCCCGCCTTCAAAGCTGCGGCAGCCAAGCCCGCAAGCCCGCTGACCACAGGCACCGCGCTCGACAGAAACTGCAAAGTTTTCCCTGCCTGCAAGAGGAAATGGAACAACGACATCCGATTAACACTCATGCGAACCAATAGGGCGAGTATTGCGACACAGATATGAAAACAATACAAGCCCAAATGCAGCAACATGCGGAGGCCTAAGCGGCGGCAGCACTCACCGTACCCATGCGACCGGTCTTGCTTGTGCAAACCAAGCTACTGCAGACGACGCTGGCTGCGAGGTAGGCGTTACACAGACCAGTTCGGATTGCCGTGTAGTATGCCTCGGGACCCGGGGGCAACGCCAGCTCCCGCCGTTGTATGTCTTCATTCATCGCGTGTCTCGACTGCGCACAGACAATACATTGCAGTTTGCCGTAACGTTGGGCCAAAACATCGTTAGGGAAGCAGGAGGAATGCGATCCATGCGCGTGTGGGAAGGGCCACCGGCACAAGACACCTGCAAATGCAAGGCCTTCCAGGTTAGTTCAAAAGGTGTACCATATGAAAAGTCGGCTAAAATGCGTCCGCCAGGCCCTTACCCGTTCCTGGTGTGAGCCGAGGGATCCCTAGACTACAGTACAGCGCTCACCACCATGTCGCCTAGATCTTCGGCCATGGCCACCAGCCTGTTCAGCTCCCCGAGCGTGCCCGTCTCGCTAAGCCCCGAGCCGGGAGAAGAGCGATTGATGCCCAGCGCTTCAACAAGCTGTCTAACCTGCTCCAGGCTTCTATGACTCCCTCCACATAGCGTGCTCAACGCCGAAAAAGATTAAATCTGAACCTGAGTCATGTGGTCCATATCTGCCTCCCGTGACGAACCAGATATGGGTTCAGTGGTGGCTCCATCTGGATTCCCAGGCTTGTCGCCTTGTGTCGAGGAACTGGTGCGTACGGCGGGGTTCTCCGCTGTTGGGTGTTCGCGTTCAGTTGCCTGCTCCTGCTGCCGCAGTCTTGCCCTCCACGAATCAAGACTCTCGCCCCTCGTTGGCCCTCCTGAATCGCACGAACACCAGGCAAGAGTGAAACGATGTGCGCAGTCCCCCGAAAGAGCAAACTCCACTCGTCACCGCGCTGGACGAGTTATTCAATACTCCTACTCAACAAGAAGAGCCCCAATACATTTCTATCAAATCATTGTTGATGTCGTTTCCCTACTTTACTGTATTTTCATTGATTTTGCTTTTGCACGACCTTCCCGGCCGCATCCTTGTCATCATTGAGATACATGCGCCCTTGGAGTTAATGGGAGAGATAGAGAGAGAGGAAGGGAGAGCGGAAAGAAACAGAGCCTCCATGTGCCTGATCGAGTGTCTGCACCAAATTTGTGGATAACAGAAATACACTGCCTCGGATCCAACACACTTCCCCCGATTATTTCTTCGCATTGATGGTGCTCTGCGTGCAGCAAAGAAGGCGACTTTTAGGCAACATTCTGAAACACTGCATCATCGATAATACCCGACCTAAGGGCATATAGCCCACAAACATCTCTGGAAACGTTATGGTTTTCCTGGGACGCCACCTGTTGCACACTACTAGTCCCACCAAACTCTGTCTACTTCGCATCCATCGTCTCATGAAACAACGCATCGGCCATCACCGATAGACGACTTGATACATCTACACCAGTGCGAGCTGTATGTTTCGTGGGTAAATTTACATAGTCCAGACCCTCTCCCTGCATAGCAGGTGAGTCGTGTGTACAGGTGAAAGCTCGAGGGTTGGGACAGGATGCCGGTGAGAGAGTTCAAACGTCAATCAAAAGTTCACTGGTTCGGATCTTGCGCTCAAACCCATCTCCGTGGATGCTGTCCCGCCTTCACGGTCGTGTAATGGCCGGTGTTGGGCACCTTTGTTTAAAGTCAAAAGGTTGTACGGCTTCCCCTTGCTTTGTGGTTCATTTGGAGTTGCGTGCAATGTCCTCTCTTGAAAGAGAAGCGCGGCCTAAGCATTCTCACTCGTCGTTTCTCCACTATAATAGTGCAAGCTTCGTGACGGATTTCCGGGTTTTCCCCGGAACGCGGCCACACAAGGAACATCACACCCATGAAATCACATGCTTCCGTGGGAGTGAAATGTGGCAATTGACTTTCTTGCTGCGACAGAGATACGGCTCCACAAAATCTTGAAAAATCCATGGCCTTTTCGGTGTCCAAGAGGCAAGGAATGCTCAAACTACGATTATGCGTCTACTCTCCCTCACCGGTCAGGCTGTTGCTGTCGATCTTAAGCGTCTTCAAGTTGCGCAGAGCTCCAAACTCGTGAGGGATGGAACCTGGACAAATATGCATCGCATGCTATTTAAGGCTCGTCATCGTCCCGCCGGACGTTGCGGGTAACATACGAATGACGGCGCCAGCTGTACGACAGCGGTCCGTCTACGGTGTCCAACCAACACGAGGTTTTATCACGGCCAGAGCACTTTCGAGGATGTGAATTGCACGACGAGCACCGCCGGGTCAGACATGTCCTAGCATACGACGGTCTTAATGCACTTGTAAACCGCTCCCATTAAATGCCATCATCAAGTCACCAAATCCTAGGGCTGCGACCGGAGGCTGCGAGATTCCGCACGGTCCTTCACGTGTTTCCGCGAGGATCCATTTCGTGTTCCTTGTCTCTATGTTTTGCCGCTGGCTATGCTCAAGACAAGGCAAGGTTGGAAACGGAATAGCGATTCCTCAGTTCTAGTTCCATGTTCGCACTTTGTTTACGGTTCAAAGCACCCCTGAACGAATGTTTGACCTCCTGCGAAGTGTGTGAAGTATAGCGATTGGTTCTTGCTCTTCACACAGGAAATGGCGTCACGTTCACACCCTGGGAAAAACTCATGGCATTTTCGGTGTCCACTCAGCTATGCAATGCACGCTCCAATGTCCGCGATACTGTATTGTATTTTAGACCCGGTTCTCCGTCGACTTTCCCTCAACGATCAGGCAACATGTTGGGGATAGACAAAGCGGCGTATTGGGGGTCCCGTTGTTTCATCTAAACAAGTTTCCCTGGAAATCTACCCCCCAAAGGTAAATGCGTAACGTTCACCTTCTTCAGCTCGCCAGGGCTCCAGTGACCTCTTGGACAAACTTAGAAACACACCAAAAAAAGGACCAACAGGGGCAGCACGCCAAAACGAACCTATTGCTCTTGATTTTACGGACATCACCTTAGCCGTGCAGAATGAATTGGGCGATACAGAGACAGGGGGGCGGCAAAAGCCACCCACCCGAGCTATGTATTTGGTTTTCACAAGGATGGATTGGCAATGGTGGGGCACTGTGACATCGTCATCCCCTTGTGAAAGTCCTCGGAACCGCCACAAAGAGAGATCAACCCGTCGCATTCTTCCCCTTTCCTCGGACATTCAACCGGCGGTAGGTTCAGTGTATTGAGTACCACATTATTGGCACAACGGAAGGGCGAAGGCAGTAGCCACTACCTGAGCTGTGTGATCGTGTGCACATCGCGTTTCCCGCAGGTTGAGGCTGTGAGGAAGATAAGGTTTCGTCGACGATGTATCACACTGCTTTCAATTCGAACGGAAATCACACCGCTTGACGACCGCGGTTATTTCGATTTTGAGTGTTTCGGTGGTAGCTTTAGAGGAAAAGGGCGGAACACCTTGAAAAGCCACGGCCAGATACCGACAGTATACTAAATCAAACTTATCATGAACGGTTGTGAGATAAAACAATCCATCATCTATTGCATCGTAGGCTGGGCCGGCCTTGGTACAAATGAAGCTGATACTGATTTCTGATTTCACGTCACCTATAGACGGTTGCCATGGAGATGAACATGTGCCAACTTGGCTAGAACTCCAGGGGTTTCGGGGTTGCGACATGTGCAATCACATGGCAAATGCTACACTCTTTGCCTCGTCACAGATAGTCACGGCGTGATGAAAGATGACCGATGCCGCCGCCGTAATGAACGTCAGTCGTGCCTCTCCGCGTGGGCGAGACTCGAAAAGAACCGATTTTACCACGACATCCTCTCTCACCAGTGAGCTTGTTGTCGTTGATGACAAGGATCTCCAGCTTGCTGAGAGCTCCAAGCGCCTTGGGAATGGGTCCTGCACAATATACAAAATGTGTCACACCCATGATCATATTGAAACTGTTGCCCATGACATGAGTGCCGCCCACGCCTTGTGCGTGCGAAAAAACTTGTACAAGCTACAGTAGTCTTACCAGAAGCCGAGCAACACCGATTGATAGTCAACATCTTCTACCGGTGGGCTGGTGTTGATTGCGGCCAACGAGTTCAGCAGATCGGCCCCACACTCAGGTCAAGCACCCCAAGCTCTCCAACTTGAGAATATTTGTCATCGTGTGCTTGCTGGCTACCGGCCCCGTTACAGCGTGGTGCGTCCCCGGTGAGGAGGGACAGGGCCTTCCGCTTCAATGACATCGGTTCTGGGTTTGGACGACAACTCCAGGGACACAGACACAGAGCGCAGGAGCAAAGGCAACCGCCTGAGCCATGCCTTATTTGGCCTCCGCGATGCACAACGATTGGCAGCTCGGAGGCTATCATTCTTCTGGAAAACATGCTTGCAAGTACATGCAACAAACAGAGGTCAACCCAATTCCTGTAGCCTCGATATACAGTGCTTAGTCGATAGGTTCCGAGGGAAAGCGCAAACGAGATCAAAAATACATATTATCAAGGCTGTGATGCATGGCGCGTCCTGAGCTGCGATGACTACGCGCCGCGGGGTTGTGACAGTCTCACAGCAACCTGCTTGAACCCCTACGAAGACCCACCGCTGTGCTGCCGCGGTGAACATTGTAGGAGTGCCTCGCACAGTCGCCACAATACCGTACGTGCGGTTGGATCAGGGCCGTTTTAAACATTGCACATTTGGTCATAAATTTTATGTTTCCAGATTTGGAAACTTTGCGCGGCGAGTTCGAAGGCAAAATCTTTGGAAACTTTCCGGACATTTGAAAGCTACCGTTCCAAACGTTTGGGGCCCTCATCAATTTCAAATTTTTCGATGACTTCCGAATTTTAATTTTTGGAATTTGGAAATTTGGAAAAAAACGCTATCATTAAAACGGCCCTTATGCAGTGTTGTTGGTGTTGTTGACTCCAACCCCGTGTGGAGGGCAGTGCCGCGAGGGCGAAAACGGCCAGAACCGTAGCCCAACCTCCACCGATGTACATAGATCAAAACGCGGCCACGATATTGCAAGACGCGTTTTGTGTGTTTTCGTCCTAATTATGATGGCGACACTCCCCCCACTTTTCGTGTTGGACCGACCTCGATGGTCTTGGACGTTAGGGCACGCAGCAGACCGTCCTCCGGCAGGTAGCACAGCCGGCAAACCGTGCACTACACGTGTTTCAGTGCATGTAGGGTACTGCACTTTTCAGTGTATGTTTTCGTACAACTACAACCATCCAAGGTCACACAGGACGGGGAAAGCACCGGGGCTTATTGCTTTTTTGTTTTTTCTATTTTCGTGCCCCACCTTAATCCTCCTAAGCGTGCTGAATTGATATTGTTATCGCGAGAAGGGTTAGCCGTCCCTCTCCCTCGTCAACGGTGCTAATGTCGAAGCTTGGTACTCACGACGATTTCAGCCCTTCTTTCTCTTTCACCCGCAAAGTTGTAAATATTTCAACCCATGGGGACTCCAACTCACGACGACTTTGCCACTAGCGGTTTCGAGGTAACCACTAGACGACCGGGACGACCAGTGGCACAGTGTCGAGAAATACCCAACAGGGGGTCTACAGGCGGGATACATCCCCGGCACCTTGGGGACGAGCCCTGACACAGTACAATCGCCAGACACAAAGCAGACACGTTCGTCTGCATGAGGGTTGCGCAATGCTATACGAGCCAACCAGACAACTTACTGGAACACGAGCAAGGCCGACAGGCAGTCAAACCCTGTTGCCGGTGAGCTCGCTTGGGTCCGGACTACCGCAACCAATACATTGACCCGATATTCAGGTCATTCGTCTCAAGCTCTCAAACGTTAATATCCTGCCGATCGTCTCACTGTTCTTACTACCAGTGTTGTTGCAGAACACCAAGGCCTGCCTACTCCCACGAGCATCGGTCCCGGGTTTCGGGCAACAACTCCAGAAATACAGAAGAATGATACACAAGGGGAAACGTCCCCCGCCCGAACCATGCCTGCGCCTCTACGATCGCCAAGTACAACGGCTCGAATGTGTGAGAGCGTTTATCATTCAAACAGATATGTTTTCAAGAATGGACAAACAGAGGCAACGATTTTGCCCAAGACGCCGCCCTACGCTATATTGAAACTGAGGGACTTGAATAGGCAGGCAGAGAGTCGTCAAATACAACAGCGTCATACACGGCCGAGGTCCTTCGGGACGGGGGGGTTCCAGTAAAGCACGACCGCCAGATGCAAACAACTGATACCAAACGGTATCATGAAGTTTAAGCGGGTCTACAGCAAACCATCACCTGGGGCGTCGTACGCGGCATTGTTCCCACATCACCCTGAGTTTACTCTCCCTCACCAGAAAGTGCGTTGCCGCTGAGCCCAAGCCCTTCCAACTTGCCGAGAGCTCCAAGTACTCCGGGGATGGACCCTGTACAAACAAAAAGAGCCCAATGGTGATCTCGATAGGGAGCCGCTGTAGGCGAGGTGTAGTGAAACATAAAGTAATTGGTCCGGCGGGCTGGTTAACAAAACGGTCCGACCTAGCGCGTGGGCGACACACGAAAGGAATCAATATTCCCACGCCATCCCATTTCACCAGGTAAGCTTGTTGTGGTACATGGAAAAATCGTCAGTTCGCTGACAGCTCCAAGCGCCTCGGGTATAGTCCCTGCTCGAGACAAAAGCACAATGAGTCGCATTGCCTGGTCAAATTGCCAATTCAACGCAAGACACCATGTGTCAACCACGCCCGGTGTGTACTGTACGGAGGTGCTCTACAACCTAGCCAAACACCAGAAGCCAACACCAACCATGTGTCAACGCCTATTTTTGTTTCCCTCATAGTTCAGGATGGTTCGGATCGCGACCAACATGATCAGCATATCGCACTGACACGTAGGCCAAGCATCCACATCTCTCAAACATCCCCCGTGATGCTAAACGTTCTCGGTTCCAACTCTTCTACCGGATTTGTTGCGGGCACCAATGCCTCCCTACCCTGACGAGAGATGACCCATCTTTCCACGGGCATCAGCTGCGGTTTTCGGAGACGAATCCGGGGGGGTTAGATGCAGAGAGCAAGGGAATAAGAGGTATGCCCTCGGGTGTTTCTACTAGACACAACGACTCGAGGCTGCGGGGTCGGTATCGTCGAACGCAATGGTTGGAAACACATGGCACAAGCTGATGCCAATCCGATAGGAGCTTCCTGTGGCCTCGAGTTCCAGTGTCTACTGTAGCCTCCGATGATAGGTGAGAGCCAAGTGATATAGAAATAGCCATTCCTTCCAGGTATAATGCATAGAGCATCCCGAGTTGCGTCTACAATGCACCGTGAGGGTGTCGACGTCACACGACAAACTGTGACGACACCCCAGCACACCAACAACAAGGCCACCGACGTGCTGTCGCCGCCTTGACTGAGCAAAGTGTCACGCATAGTCGCCACTTTGCTATGGGCCAACAGACATACCGAGTATATACAGCCTTGCCGAGTGCACGCCCGTGTATGGGGACACATCGCTTCAAGTGAAGCTAATATGATAATGCTACAGCAAAACTTCCACTACTGTAGGAAACCTGTGAAACGGTCCACGGTATGGAATCGTGCTAAACGTGTCGCCAAATACCGAACAAGGGGTACATGAACGGATAAAAGCTGCGAGTTGCTTGAAACGTTGTATTTGCGACAGCAACCAAACCATTACGCAAACAACCAACAAAAGATACCATCATCAATGTCGTGCGATTCTACTGCACACTACCCTCCACGGCATCGTGAGCGGGATTGGTCCCGCTTCGCAACGTGTTCCATTCTCCCTCACCGGTCAGCTGGTTGCCGTCGAGTCGAAGAGTTTGCACCTTTCCGAGGCCTCCAAGCTCTCCGGGGATGGAACCTGCACGGGCGTACAGCAGGTGGCCCACTGGTTATGCTGCTGCTGATGTACTGAGCATGATGAGGAGACATGTGTGATGCCGCCGGCTCGTTCAACATCGAACCCGCCTACGTCGTGGGCGAGACACGAGATGATGTCCCCACGCCGTCCTTCCTCACCGATGAACTTGGCGACGTTCACCACACAAGTTTCTTCAGCTTGCGATGTAAGTCTCACGTGTGATCGACTTGCATGCGTTCTCCACGATGAGAATGCCGCCACCGTTTCGTGGGTTCGGGGGACGCCATGCAAGCCAACCAGACCACCTATTGGTACCCTCTAATGGCAACCAAAAGCTCTTGCCGGTGAGCTCCCTTGCGTCCGGACTACCGCGACCAACGCATCGACCTGACACTCACGTCGAAAGTCGCAAGCTCTCAAACTGCTACATCATGCGAATCGTTTCAAATCCTGACCACCCACGGTATTGTTGCAGGGCACCGAGGCCTCCCTACTCAGACGAAATTGGATCTGTATCTCCAAGAGCATCGTTTCCGGGTTTAGGCCACAACTCCAGGGATACAGATGCATGATGCAAGGGGAAATGTCCCCCGCCCCAGGCATGCGTTTGGTGCCTCTACGACCTACAACGGTTCGAAGGTGTGAGATTGTTATCGATCAGAGAGCAAGGGTTTGTAGTACGGGCAAACAGAAGTCACGCCATTGCCAGCCTCCTGTGGCCTCGCTTTCCGATAGATAGTCGATAGGTTCTGAGGAAGAGCGAAACAATAATGAAACGACCCCCTCTTAGAGGTGCATTGCATGTCACGTCCTGGATGCAAGCATGATGTATCGTAAAGCTGCTGTGGACGGAGAAACATAGCCCTACCACATGAAACAAGGAGTCGCTGAAAGGTTGCCTTCATATTTGGAGGAAGTGTCACGTGTACTCCCCACGTCGGTGCGGGCCATCTAGCATTCCGCGAATTTACAATCACGTCGCGTGTCGTGCAGGCGACACCACGAGTCTCATTTCATAGACCAGCCGCAAACCTCAGCTAAGACTGCATCACCTATATCAATCCAGCTGAGCGACTGAGGAGGAGGCAGGAGAGTGTCGCCAAATAACGGACAAGGGGTACAACAGCGGCATACAGCGCCGAGGTCCTTTCGGTACAGACGGGTCCCAGTACAGCACGACCGCCAGATACAAACGTTAGTATGAAGGCTGTAGGATCCTAATGCAAGCCATCATCTAGGGCGTCGTAGGCGGCCTTGTTCTAACATCGCGCTGAGTTGCATTCTGTCTTACCTGAGAGCTGGTTGCCGTTGACCCAAAGCTCTTCCAACTTGCCGAGACCTCCAAGCACTCCTGGTATGGACCCTGCATAAAACAAAAAAGCCAAACGGTGATCTCGTTACTTCGCCGTTGGTGGGCGCGGCGTGGTGAAACATGTATGATGCGGCCGGCTGGAAAAAAACATCGGCCCGACCTACCGCGTGGGCGAGACACGAAAGGAATCAATCTCCCCACGCCATCCCATCTCACCAGTGAGCTTGTTGTCGTTCATGTAAAGGTTCTTCAGCTCGCTGAGAGCTCCAAGCGCCTCGGGTATAGTCCCTGCTCGAGACAAAAGCACAATGAGTCACATGTCGTGATACACCTTCAAATGCAACGCAAGACACCATGTGTCAACCACGCCCGGTGCGTACCGTACGGAGATGCTCCACAAACGACTCCAGAAACCGAGTAACACCAGCAACGCGTTAACGCCGTTTGCTTCACTCAGAATTCAGCTTGCTTCGGATCGCGACCAATACAATCAGCATATCGCACTGACACGTAGGTCAAGCATCCACATCTCTCAAACATCCCCCGTGATGCTAAACGTTCTCGGTTCCAATCATTCTACCGGATTTGTTGCGGGCACCAATGCCTCCCTACCCTGACGAGAGATGACCCATCTTTCCACGGGCATCAGCTGCGGTTTTCGGAGACGAATCCGGGGGGGCAGATGCAGAGACCTAGGGAATAAGACTCCCGCTAGAGGTATGCCCTCGGGTGTTTCTACTGGACACAACGACTCGAGGCTGCGGGGTCGGTATCGTCGAACGAATTGGTTGGAAATACATGGCACCAGCTGATGTCAATCCGTTAGGAGTTTCCTGTGGCCTCGAGTTCCAGTGTCTACTGTAGCCTCCGATGATAGGTGAGAGCCAAGTGATATAGAAATAGCCATTCCTTCCAGGTATAATGCATAGGGCATCCTGAGTTGCGCCTACAACGCACCGTGAGGGTGTCAACGTCACACGACAAACTGTGACGACACCCCAGCACACCAACAACAAGGCCACCGACGTGCTGTCGCCGCCTTGACTGAGTAAAGTGTCACGCATAGTCGCCACTTCGCTATGGGCCAACAGACATACCGCGTATATACAGCCTTGCCGAGTGCACGCCCGTGTATGGGGAAACATCGCTTCAAATTAAGCAAACATGATAATGCTACAGCAAAACTTCCACTACTGTAGGACACCTATGAAACGGTCCACGGTATGGAATCGTGCTAAACGTGTCGCCAAATACCGAACAAGGGGTACATGAACGGATAAAAGCTGCGAGTTGCTTGAAACGTTGTATTTGCGACAGCAACCAAACCAATACGCAAACAACCAACACAAGATACCATCATCAATGTCGTGCGATTCTACTGCACACTACCCTCTACGGCGTCGTGAGCGGGATTGGTCCCGCTTCGCAACGTGTTCCATTCTCCCTCACCGGTCAGCTGGTTGCCGTCGAGTCGAAGAATTTGCACCTTTCCGAGGCCTCCAAGCTCTCCGGGGATGGAACCTGCACGGGCGTACAGTAGGTGGCCCACTGGTTATGCTTCTGCTGATGTACTGAGCATGATGAGGAGACATGTGTGATGCCGCCGGCTCGTTCAACATCGAACCCGCCTACGTCGTGGGCGAGACACGAGATGATGTCCCCACGCCATCCTCCCTCACCGATGAACTTGGCCACGTTCACCACACAAGTTTCTTCAGCTTGCGATGTAAGTCTCCCATGTGATCGACTTGCATGCGTTCTCCACGATGAGAATGTCGCCACCGTTTCGTGGGTTCGGGGGACGCTATGCAAGCCAACCAGACCACGTATTGGTACCCTCTGATGGCAACCAAAAGCTCTTGCCGGTGAGCTCGCTTGCGTCCGGACTACCGCGACCAACGCATCGACCTGACACTCACGTTGAAAGTCGCAAGCTCTCAAACTGCTACATCATGCGAATCGTTTCAAATCCTGACCACCCGCGGTATTGTTGCAGGGCACCGAGGCCTCCCTACTCAGACGAAATTGGATCTGTATCTCCAAGAGCATCGTTTCCGGGTTTAGGCCACAACTCCAAGGATACAGATGCACGATGCAAGGGGAAATGTCCCCCGCCCGAGGTATGCGTTTGGTGCCTCTACGACCTACAACGGTTCGAAGGTGTGAGATTGTTATCGATCAGAGAGCAAGGGTTTGTAGTATGGGCAAACAGAAGTCACGCCATTGCCAGCCTCCTGTGGCCTCGCTTTCCGATGGATAGTCGATAGGTTCCGAGCAAGAGCGAAACAATAATGAAACGACCCCCTCTTAGAGGTGCATTGCATGTCACGTCCTGGTTGCAAGCATAATGTATCGTAAAGCTGCTGTGGACGGAAAAATCAAGGACGACACATGAAACGAGGAGCCACTGATAGGCTGCCTTCATATTTGGAGGAAGTGTCACGTGTACTCCCTACGTCGGTACGGGCCATGTGGGATGCCGCGAATTTACAATCACGTCGCGTGTCGTGCAGGCGACACCACGAGTCTCATTTCATAGACCAACCGCGAACCTCAGCTAAGACTGCATCACCTATATCAATCCAGCGGAACGACTGAGGAGGAGGCAGGAGAGTGTCGCCAAATAACGGACAAGGGGTACAACAGCGGCATACAGCGCCGAGGTCCTTTCGGTACAGACGGGTCCCAGTACAGCACGACCGCCAGATACAAACGTTAGCATGAAGGCTGTAGGATCCGAAAGCAAACCATCATCTAGGGCGTCGTAGGCGGTCTTGTTCTAACATCGCGCTGAGTTGCATTCTGTCTTACCTGAGAGCTGGTTGCCGTTGAGCCAAAGCTGTTCCAACTTGCCGAGACCTCGAAGCACTCCAGGGATGGACCCTGCACAAAACAAAAGAGCCAAACGGTGAACTCGTTAGCAAGCCGCTGGTGGGCTCGGCGTGGTACATAGGTATGATGCGGCCGGCTGGTTCAACATCGGTCCGACCTACCGCGTGGGCGAGACAAGAAAGGAATCAATCTTCCCACGCCATCCCATCTCACCAGTGAGCTTGTTGTGGTGCATCAGAAGCTCCTTCAGCTCGCTGAGAGCTCCAAGCGCCTCGGGTATAGTCCCTGCTCGAGACAAAAGCACAACGAGTAACATGTCGTGATGCAATAGAAAATGCAACGCAAGACATCATGTGTCAACCACGCCCGGTGTGTACCGTACGGAGATGCTCCACAAGCGACACCAAAAACCGAGTAACACCAGCTATGCGTTAACGCCGTTTGCTTCACTCAGAATTTAGCTTGCTTCGGATCGCGACCAATACAATCAGCATATCGCACTGACACGTAGGTCAAGCATCCACATCTCTCAAACATCCCCCGTGATGCTAAACGTTCTCGGTTCCAATCATTCTACCGGATTTGTTGCGGGCACCAATGCCTCCCTACCCTCGCGAGAGATGACCCATCATTCCACGGGCATCAGCTGCGGTTTTCGGAGACGAATCCGGGGGGGCAGATGCAGAGAGCTAGGGAATAAGACCCTCGCTAGAGGTATGCCCTCGGGTGTTTCTACTGGACACAACGACTCGAGGCTGCGGGGTCGGTGTCGTCGAACGCAATGGTTGGAAACACATGGCACCAGCTGATGTCAATCCGATAGGAGCTTCTTGTGGCCTCGAGTTCCAGTGTCTACTGTAGCCTCCGATGATAGGTGAGAGCCAAGTGATATAGAAATAGCCATTCCTTCCAGGTATAATGCATAGAGCATCCCGAGTTGCGTCTACAATGCACCGTGAGGGTGTCGACGTCACACGACAAACTGTGACGACACCCCAGCACACCAACAACAAGGCCACCGACGTGCTGTCGCCGCCTTGACTGAGCAAAGTGTCACGCATAGTCGCCACTTTGCTATGGGCCAACAGACATACCGAGTATATACAGCCTTGCCGAGTGCACGCCCGTGTATGGGGAAACATCGCTTCAAGTGAAGCAAATGTGATAAATGCTACAGCAAAACTTCCACTACCGTAGGGCACCTGTGAAACGGTCCACGGTGGTATCGTGCTAAACGTGTCGCCAAATACCGAACAAGGGGTACATGAACGGATAAAAGCTGCGAGTTGCTTGAAACGTTGTATTTGCGACAGCAACCAAACCATTACGCAAACAACCAACACAAGATACCATCATCAATGTCGTGCGATTCTACTGCACACTACCCTCTACGGCGTCGTAAGTGGGATTGTTCCCGCTTCGCAACGTGTTCCATTCTCCCTCACCGGTCAGCTGGTTGCCGTCGAGTCGAAGAATTTGCACCTTTCCGAGGCCTCCAAGCTCTCCGGGGATGGAACCTGCACGGGCGTACAGCAGGTGGCCCACTGGTTATGCTGCTGCTGATGTACTGAGCATGATGAGGAGACATGTGTGATGCCGCCGGCTCGTTCAACATCGAACCCGCCTACGTCGTGGGCGAGACACGAGATGATGTCCCCACGCCGTCCTTCCTCACCGATGAACTTGGCGACGTTCACCACACAAGTTTCTTCAGCTTGCGATGTACGTCTCACGTGTGATCGACTTGCATGCGTTGTCCAAGATGAGAATGCCGCCACCGTTTCGTGGGTTCGGGGGACGCCATGCAAGCCAACCAGACCACCTATTGGTACCCTCTGATGGCAACCAAAAGCTCTTGCCGGTGAGCTCGCTTGCGTCCGGACTACCGCGACCAACGCATCGACCTGACACTCACGTCGAAAGTCGCAAGCTCTCCAACTGCTACATCATGCGAATCGTTTCAAATCCTGACCACCACGGTATTGTTGCAGGGCACCGAGGCCTCCCTACTCAGACGAAATTGGATCTGTATCTC